CCCCACCCACTGTGGGTAGTACCACCCCTGGGCAGGTGGGCCTATGTTGTATAAGAAAGATTGAGCAGGGGCCAGGAGAGCACGCCAGTAAGCAGCATTCTACCATGGCCTGTGCTCCAACTCCTGCTTCCAGGTTCCCACCCTGAGTTGGGCTCCATGATGAACTGTGACCCAGAACCCGGGAGATGTAAGCGAAATAAACCTGCTCTGCCCCAAGTTGGTATTGGTCAGAGTATTTTGTCATAGCAATGAAGAAACAAACTAGGAATATAAAAAAAAAGGATACAACATTGGGTGGGTGAAGAAGGTAGAAAGGGAAGGAGAGTGGAAGAAACAGAATGACAAAAATCAAAATAAAGATCCTTAAGTCTGCCACATTATAGCACACACAGAAAGAGCTGTCTCTGCCTACTGTTTTTCCTTCCTCCCTCTCTTTCCTTTCTGAAATTTCTTGGCTGAACACTTGTTTTCACAAGTTCTATAAATGTCAAAGAACACTTCAGTTTTGCCACATAATATGATCAGTTTACCAGGTCCTCCCTTCATCTGTCATCAATATTTGGTACAATTGATCATGCTTTGCTTTGTGAACTTGATTCAACACTTGCTTCATATTGTCATGTTTTTCTGCTCCTTTGTTTGTCTCTCCTTTTCTTCTGAAAATACATATTGGCATTTACCAGTTGAGGGCACAAAGCTGTTTGGTCTACTTGCTGTATGTACCCTCTCAAAATGATCCTCTTTATTTCTAGTGGTTAATGACTTCCAAATGTAAATATATACTTGTTACAATTTTCTTTAAACTTCAATATATGCATTGTATATATTGTAACCAATGCAGTGGTTCTGTGTTCTCAAAGCCTACTGGATATTTTATGCCTCATATAAATAAGATGGAGCTCTTGATTCTCACATCCCTATCTCTAGCCCTCATTCTAGCAAATGTTATGAACCTTCACTCTTTGTTCCTTCAGATCTTGGCTGAATTTCTTTTTCTCCTCTTACATGGCACTGTGAGAAACACTAGCATCTGAGCACAGGGAGGAGAATAAATGCGAGGGATTAATTTTTCTAGATCCATGTCCAAGAACTCCTGGAGATGTGGCTTCAAAACCAACGATTTTGATAACTTTCACCTCTTCTATACCTTAAAGTTTAGAGAGGTAATGTCTTCCTGCTAAAACACTTCAACTTACATAACTGATGTGTGTTTCTTGTTAATAGATTATCTAATTCACATCAACATTGTGTTCAACTAACAAATGCTTGAGTTTCCACTATATATTTCAAATATATTTTCATTACCAATGTCATTCCCACTCTAAACTCTTTAATTTCTCACATGGATTAGAACAAGAGTTTACTACTTCCCACCCCAAATTCGAATTTCACAAAACAGCCAGTAAAATTATTTTTTAAAAAATAACAAGTTGGGGCTTGAGAGATGACTCAGCAGTTAAAGAACACTAATTGTTCTTGCAGAAGACCTGGGTTTGAATCCCATCACCCACATGGCAGCTAACAACTGTCCGTAACTCCAATTTTAGGGCCTCCAACAGCCTCTTCTGTCCACCGTGGGCATGGCATGACATGGGTGCACTTTCCTACATGCATCCAATACATGCATACACATAAAATAAAAATAACATATTTTTAAAATAAAAAAGTAAAAAATAAAAAAGAAGATGCCACAGCAATCTAAGCAATCTATGTTCATTACCAGATAAATTTAAATTTTATTTTAAGTTTCATGGGAAACTTTTGGAATACTGTAGGCAATGCTTCACAGTGGTGTGCTGGCGTTCTAGAAGCATTCATAGCCAGTTGTTTCAGAGAATTCACACTCAGTCCACCTTATTAGCAATATCCTCACTATAGATACAAGATTATCTACTTCTCTTTATACATTTCCATCTACTTCAATGTCACTTTCACTCCAGTCTGTGTATTCTGTTGTCTATTGTCACTATTCTCTATGGTATTACATAATTTATAAATGATAGAGTTTGATGCTCCAGGTTTCCTATAATACCTTTGTGTTTGTCTGAACTAGATACTTGGTAAGGACAAATTCTCATTTTAAAAACTATCTTGATCACTGCCGAGTGAGGGAGAGTTGGTATTCTTTAAAGGAGTGATGCTAGATAGTCTGATTAGGCTCCAGTGGATGCACTCACACCAAGGGACATCTGAGGATACAAACTTGTCCCTGTAGGCCTTAACATATGTGACAGAATGCATGAAGTGAAATGGGGGAGATATGGAGGGGTACTAATAGGGAATAGGGTCTAAATATAAGATATATTGAATGACATACATTAAAATTCAATAAAATATATATTGTAAAAAAGTTCCAGGAGGGGAAAATCACTAGGCAGTATATCATACATCTAAAACTATCTATAAGGCCAGCTAGATTGCTCAGTGGGTAATGGTGCTTGATAGCAAGCCTGAGTTTGATCCTCAGGACCCACATAGTGGACACAGAAAACACCCATAAATTATCCTCTGATCTCCACATGCATGCTGTGGCACATGTGCTCTCTCACACAATAAATAAGTACATTTCAAAAGGAGTATATAAATGTGCATGCTTAGCTCAAAAGTACAAAGAAACAAAGACTGTCTATAGTTATAGATAGTAAGCTACAAATATTTGAAGACTTGAATCTCCCTCTCCTAGCTTCCTACCACTTCTTCCTCTATGACATAATGGCTGTCCTGGCTCTTGAGACAACTGCTTCTTGGCCTTTCAAATCAGTTCTATTACAGATGAAACTACACAAACATGCATTAAAAGTCAAATCATTGATTAGTATTCTTTGACTTTTAGTTTTCACTCAAACTGTGTTTTTAAGATTTATCTATGTTTATATATTTGATTTTGTTTAGTTTTTGAAACAAGGTCTCATTTAGCCCAGGCTTGGCCTTCAACTTGTGATATACTCAAGGTTGCCCTTGAACTCCTGATGCTCCTGCCTATAATTCTAAGTACTGTGATTACAGCACTGATCTGCCATGCCCACCTTGTTGAACTAAAATTTAAACTGTTTATTCTCATTTCTGTGTATTATGCATTCTTGGAATATATGTTAATTTGTTTACCACATTACTCACGATGGGCTTCAGTTGGCTTTCAAGCTAATGTGCTATTATTTACAAGTTGCTATGAATATTCTTTTATGTATTTTTCTATTACCATTTATATTAGAACTATCTTTCTTCTTTAGAATTTATATTTCTATAGTCAATCAATTTTTCATTATCTTCCAGTTACTTTGAGGGGAAGCCTCTTCTCTTGGTCTGGTATCATCAGCAGTTTACTGTAGCAATTAGAAAACAGGGGCTGTGGAGAGAGAAAAGTAGGCAAGGTGCTTCCTGTACAAGTATGAGGACCTGAGTTCAGATTCTTAGAACACACATAAAAAGCTTGGCATGACAGTGCTAGTTTGTGACTGCACTGCTGGAGTTCAGAGACAGGTAAACCCCAGGGAGTCACTGGTCATCCAGACTAGCTAGGTTTCTGTTCAGTTGGAGACCGTTTCAAAACATAAAGTGTAGAACGTTAGTGTAAAACACCAAACTTCACCACCCTCTAGCTTCCACATACATGCACATATCTGCAAGCACACCGATACACATATGTCCATACATGTAAAATGTATATACATCATATACACCCACTCCCCTTCACACAAAAAGAAAATATAGTCAAATCACCTTAGGGGTAATTTATTCAAAAGTGAAGTTAGCATAATAGTGTCAATTCACAGACTACAGAGCAGGTTTCTTTTCCTAAAATGCTTCAGAAAAGGCTCAAGATTATTTTGAAGGCTATAGACAATATTTTGGTAGTTCTGTAATACCAGTTTTGCTTCATAGAACTAGGTTTGGTGCTCAGTTAAGTACATTAAATTGAATTAAATCTAAGAATATGTGTTCAGAGTATCTGATTAAAAAAAGAAAATTTAGGTGTATCTTAGTGGATCAGTTATTCATTTCAGTGTCCATTTTAAATTCACCAGCTGATTTTGCCTTGATTATATTGAGACTATATTCCTTTTGTAAGGAAGCCCGACAGATATAATAAATAAAAATATAGAAGTGAGTTAAATTTGAACTTCAGCTAAATAATGAACATTTCAGTGGGTGTTATGTCTAATGTAATATCTGAAATCTGTTCTCACTAAAAAAAATACTTGTTTGACAATCAATTAGACAGTTGTTTTCTGTCCACCCCGTACTAATTTTATCAGATAAATGTTTTCAAGGTTTTTTCACACTGTTGGAATTGAGATATTTCTTACATGTTAAAAAGTCAGTTGCTAGGAGGTTCTTAGCTCACCTTCCATTGCTCTTTTTTTTTTAATCTTCATTTCACACTGAACATTTATTTCAACCAAAGTATTAGAGGCTTTTAAAAACTATTTTGCTGTAAGAGGTGCACTTTTTGCTAATCATTCTCTTACAAGTATATTCTCAAAAGTGCATCAATTTCAATCTTCAAAAGAACTGCACGTGGGCCACAAGTTAGCTCAGCTGGTAAAGGGGCATGCCCCCAAACCTGACCGCGACCTGAGTTCAGTCCCCAAGACCTACAGGTGGGAGAGAAGGGGATCGAGAATCCTTCACTATCCAACGTCCACATGTGCACCATGACAGGGTCCCTATAAATAAATGTAATAGAAATATTTTTCAAAGAAAGAAAGCACATGTACCACCCACATTTGTTGAAGCACAGCTATTTTACATAAAAACGAAACAAATTTCCAAGATATCGCGAGATGTGCAACTCGAAGCTTTCTGAACCTCTTCGGCTCCCGTCATTTCCCCGTACGTCAGCGGCTTGCTTTCTCGGGTCTTTCATGTTGGTGCCTGCTTTCAGCTAGCGAGGATTTTCTCGTGACTGTCCGGTTTGAGGGTGAGCCTGCCTTCTTTCCTGCCTTCCTAAGGTTTCTGTTTTGCACAGTTCAAACCCACTAGTGTGAATATCCGAAAAAATGTCGACCCAAGAGAGCAGCTCAGATGGCTTAGCATACTCTGGGTCCAAAAGCCTGCTTAGCCTTGAGGACGAGAGGCTTGATGAAATGGGCGCTGAGGCAGCTCCAGGCTTCGAAGCCGAGATTCAGGATCAGAGTCAGGCCTTGGGTGATGTTGCCGGTGACGGTGCTGCAGTTGAGAGTGCTTCCAACCCTCAAGGTACTGATAGTGATGAAGACCTTGGTTCTGATGGTGACACAGATGATGATGGTGACGAAGAAAAAGAGTCTGAGGCTGAGGCCGAGGCAGAAGCCAAGGTGGATGCTGAGGCCGAGGCCAAGGCCGATGGCGACAGCAGTCACGTTGACATCACTGATTGTGGTGACAGTGGTGACAGTGTAGGCCTTCCAAACCTGGAGGACTCTGACAGTGTTTCCAGCAATGAGCAAAGCCTGCTCTTCTGTAGCATGGAAGCCGAAATCGGGATCCGGGAGAACAGGAATGACGAAGCTACATCTGAGGTACGTGAGTCAAACAGTGAGCAAAATGTGATGGAAGAGGATAGGTCCATAGAGGAATGGATGTCCATGGGAATAACTCCGCTCCCGAGACCTCGCTGCAACATGGTTAATGCCCTTCGGGATAGGCAGCTGGGTTCCAGGCCTCGCTTTGATTATGAGGCCTGTGGTGCAAGAGCGTTTGTGCAGCGTTTCTCCCTGCAACATAAATTTGAAGGCCATGTTGGGTGTGTCAATTCTGTGCACTTTAACCAATGTGGCACCCTGCTGACCAGTGGCAGTGATGACCTGAAAGTATTTGTGTGGGACTTGTTTAATCAGCACCGAGTACTGGACTTTTTTAGTGGCCATAGAAATAATGTCTTGCAGGCTAAATTCCTTCCTAATTGTAATGATTCCGCCATGGTCACGTGTGGCCAGGATGGGCAGGTACGGCTTGCCCAACTATCTTTTGTGCCCACATCCAACGAAACAACCAGGAGATTGGTGAAGCACAGGGGAGCATGTCATAGGCTGGCTTTGGAGCCAGACTCCCCTTATAAGTTCCTTACTTCAGGGGAAGATGGAGTTGTTTTCAGCATTGACCTAAGACAGCATCAGCCAGCTTCAAAGTTGGTGCTAGTCAAAGAATATGACAAGAAAGTGGGACTGTATACAGTCTTTTTGAATCCAGCCAATAGCTACCAGTTTGCCGTGGGTGGGCAAGATCAGTTTGTGAGGATTTATGACCAGAGGAAAATTCATGAGAATGAGAATAACGGAGTTTTCAAAAAATTCTGTCCTCCTCACCTGGTGGGCTGTGATCAGCCAGTATCCATCACTTCCCTGGTGTATAGTCACGATGGCACAGAGCTCCTAGTTAGCTACAGTGGTGAAGATATTTACCTCTTCAACACTTCTGACTGTGATGAAGGGCAATATTCCAAGAAATATAAGGGGCACAGAAATAATGCCACAGTGAAAGGTGTTAATTTCTATGGTCCCAAAAGTGAGTTTGTAATGAGTGGTAGCGATTGTGGGCATGTCTTCTTCTGGGAAAAATCATCCTGCCAGATTGTTCAGTTCTTGGAGGCAGATGAAGGAGGCGCAGTCACCTGTATTGATTCCCATCCTTACCTACCTGTGATTGCAACTTGTGGCCTAGACAATGAGGTCAAGGTTTGGGCACCATTAGCTGCAGCTCCCACTGATCTTACTGGGTTAAAGGATGTGGTTAAGATCAATATGCAGAAACTAGATGATTTTAACTTGCACAGTGCTTCCCTGTTTGACAACCACATGTTCTGGCTCCTCATGAGTCACATGACAGAGAGAAATCCCCAGAGTTCCTGGAGAGGTGTTAGAATTGAAGCTGGAGACAGAGATTTCCAGGAGACTTCCAGCAACTCTGATGATGAAGATAACGAAGATGAAATACTGTGTATGCCATCGTGAAGGCCTTGTGCCAAGGTAAACTAGATACCACGTCGACAGACTGGACTTTAAAAATTCATCTTGATTAGTAGGCTTCTGGATAGACTGGACTTTAAAAATTATGTTCAATTAGTAGGTTTCTGTTTGCCTTATGTTTCCAACAAGTTATAACAAAAGCATTTGAATGTTTCATTTTTTTCTCTTACTTGGTTTCATTACTCCTTAACCCTTACCTTTATATGACTGTAGAAGAAAAATATGCTACCTTGGTTCTCTTGCAGTTAACTAAGAGAGTGCCAAATTTTGATAAAAAAATAGTCATGTAAGATGCGATTCCAGATACTAACAACTGGCATTTTTAAGCTTCAGAAATCTATTTCCAAATACTGTTTTTCTGTTGACATAGAAATTTTAAAATATGTTTTCTTTTGTTCTAAAAGTAAAGCAAAGTAAAAGCAAATCATGGTTTTGTGTCTTGAATGTAGACTTTGTTCACGCATACAACACAAACTTTCACTTTTTCTTTCTGCCAGAGGAAAGGAAGACAGAACAGTTTTATTTCCTGGTCAGACAATTTAACTCTGATAACAAAAAACTTGGGTGCAGATAACTTTATTTTATGTATATGTGTGTATTGCCTGCATGTAGGTAAGTGCACCTGTGTCGTGCAATGCCTGGGGAAGACCGAAGAGGCTGTCAGACTCCCTGGAGCTGGAGTTACAGATAGTTGTTAGCTGCCGTGTGGGTGCTGGGATTTGAACTCGGGTCTTCTGCAAGAATAGTCAGTGTTCTTAACCACTGAGCCATCTCTCCAGCCGCTGTATGCACATTTTCTAAATCTATGTTATTAATGTAGAATTACTTCAGCACATAAAAGGTGGGAAGAAACTAAATTTAATCACTTTTTTAAGTGTTTGGTTTTATATGGTAAGGTCTCCCAATAGCCCCAGCTGGCCTGGAACTCCCTGTGTAGACTAGACTGTCCTCCATCTCACAGAGATCAGCTTGCCTCTGCCTTCTGAACCTGGGACTAAAGGCATACACTACCACACACAGCAATTACTATATTTTTTAATATGCCATTTCAATTTTCTTGAAATGTTGTGGTTAAAAAATGCCACAGGATTACCTTCCAGAGAGTCCTCATATAATTTGGCAGCTAGAAATATATGAATGCATTATAGTTTGAACTATTAAAAACTTTGGAAGAAAAGATGGTTTATATTTATATGTAACCACTTGATGTGGTACTATTATAAAATGTTTTAGATGTCCCTGCAGTGTTTAAAGTTCACTGCAATGGTTCCGAAAAAGGTTGAGTTGCTTTAAAATTACTTTAAGACTTTTAAACTGTAAATTTGGGATAGTGAAAGACCAATTTATATTTAATGTTTTTTATGTTATTGGTATAAGGGAATGCAGAAGATTGCCTTTCCTCAAACTGCCATGAATTATAGCACATTTTCCTTTGCAGACTACTGGTGGCAAATGCCTTTAATCCCAGCACTCGGGAGGCAGAGGCAGGTGGATCTCTGTGATTTCAAGGCCAGCCTGGTCTACATACTGAGTTCCAGGACAGTTGGGGCTACAAGGAGTCCCTGCATCAAAAAGACAAAATAATAATAAATTTTCTGTTCAAAATGAATGTCATGGAACATCCTATGATCTGACAATCACAGGACTTTGAGAATACTTCCTGAAATGTTTATTCTTCCATGGTTACAAGTAAAGGCGCTTTCACAAATTTAGACTTTTGGAATGGAAGATTTCATTTTTTTTTCTTTTTTGAGACAGGGTCTCCCTGTAGCCCCAGCTGGGCTAGAACTTGCTATGTAGATGAAACTAGCCTTTGTGTCACAGAGATCTGCCTACCTTTGCTTCTAGAGTGCCGGAAGAAAAAGCCTGTGCTGCCATGCACAGACGGAATGGAAAATTTTTTGCCAAATTTTCTCTTCACTGAATTTCAATGTGGGTGCTTGGGACTTAGAAGTCTAAAGAAGCCCTTACATATTTAGTGTCAAGAAAGGACAAGAAAAAAAGAAAGAAAATGAAAATGAACTGCAGAAACCAGTCAATCAGCGATTTTGAGGTTTACACTATGGATTTGAAGTAGGACATGAGGGTTGACGAGAGTTGGCCCAGTGGGTCAAGCACTGGCCATACAAGCCTAAGGAGTAGAGTTCAGAGGTGGAGGAGCTTGACAGTACATCTGTGGTCCCCAAGTGTGCAGAACAGAGATGAAATCCCAGGGGCAAGCTGGCTAGCCAGACTAGCCAAACCAATGAGCTCTGGGTTGAACAAGAGACACTGCCTCAGTGCACAAGGTGGAGAGCTAGTGAAGATGCCTGATGTCAACATTGGTTCCTCACATGCAGATGCACACACATGCAAGTGCACCCACACAGTGGGAATATACACACATATACACACATACATAAGCAAAAATAAGACACAAAGAGAAGAAGATTATTAACTAGGATCCCAGGTTTAGGTTATCATGTATAAGGGAATAGTATGTGTACTAGCAATATTATAACACTGAAAAAATTTTCTACCTATTGTTTGCAAACGGGTTTCTTTGTGGAGGATTTTTACTCTTACCAATTTTAACTAAATTTTTTTCAGGGGCCCCTAAATTGACCTGAGATTACTGATGCTTTAACCAGTATTTTGCAAAAAAACAAAATTGAAAGTAGTTGCTTTAAACAAAAAAGGGGCCTAGAGAGAGGACTCAACATTTAGGAGCACTGGCTGCTCTTACAGAGGACCCAGGTTTGGTTCCCAGCAACAACCTTCTGTAGATGGCTAACAACCATCTGTAGCTCCAGTTCCAGGGGTTCTAACACTCTCTAAGCACCTCAGCAGGCCTTTCATGCATATGAAGGCAAAACAGTCATACACATAAAATAAAAATAGATAAAAAGAACTAAATGTTCTCAGAAATAAGGGGAGACACCAGACTCTGCAGCACATACGTCATGTACATTTTTGCTCCTGTGTTGGCTTAGCCTTGTTTTTGTTGGGTATCAGCTAGACCCACAACTACTCCAGGTTCTGTACATAGTTTCCTTTGGATTCTTCATCTCTATGGTAAGGAGTACCTGCTTCTGCAGGGACTCCTCCCCATTCCACACTGACCTGAAGCTACAGAGAGGCAAGAGAGATGAGCATCAGTTCCAATCTTCTTCCTGTTGCAGAGAAACTTCTTGTCTCCACATTGATGCTTGCTTCCAAAATGTCATGTCCTTCCTTTTCTTCTTCTTTTGCTGATTTCAAGTTCCAGTATCGGAATCAAAAACAAAAATCTTACTAAGCCTGCTTAGCCAGCTACTACAATTAAGTAAAGTTTAATCCCTATTGTAAATGCCTTTTGAATATATTTCACCCACTGTATTTCTTTTACTCTGATTGAACCTTGAGCTGTGCAACCTATTTTTCCCCTCCATGCTGTAGGAAATAGTTAAATGGAAAATATATGTGGCGCACACCTGTAATCTTACCAGTTGGCCCATGGAAGCAGGCAGGAGGTTCTTGAAATCAATGCTAGACAGCATGGAATAGATATACAGTAAGTCCCCATTCCCAAACAAAACAAAAACATATTTAGGATTTTATAGATTGAAATAGGTTCTGGGAGATGGTCCAATTGGTAAGAGCATTTGGCTGTTCAAGCATTAGAACTGGAGTTCAAACCTCAAAGAGCATTACAGGCAGAAACGTGATGCCCCTCTCTGGCCACACTATGCACACACATGCATATGTATGCATACATTACACATATATCACACACATAGAGTGACACAAAGAAATGAAAAAAAAAAAAAAAAACTTCTGGTGGGCTGGAGAGATGGTTCAGTGATTAAGAGAACACACTTCCTCCAGAGGACTAGAGTTCAATTCCCAGCAACTATATTGGGTGGCTCACAACCTCTTGTAACTTCAGCTACAAGATCCAGTGCCTCTGGCTTCTGCAGGAAACTGCACTCATGAACATAGCCACACATAGGCACACATAAATAAAAACAAAATGAATCTTTAAAAACTAAAGGTATTACAGTAATTCTTCAAAATCTTGCATGATTTCTATAGTTTTAATTTGTGATTATATGGGTCCTATTATGTTGAAGGAAATAGAGAATACGACTACGTTTTCTGTGAGGTAGTGGGCAAAACTAACTTTTATTCCAATTTAATAAGCAGAAGAGTTGCATTTTTATGTAATCTTACAAGACACTATTTTGACTCCAATTTGGAATCTACAGGAGAGTTTTGGGGAGGTCCTCATGGCCTTTAAGCAATATTATAATTGTCTCCTAATTATATACAGAATTTAGCTACATAAAGTTGTAACAGATGCCAAACTATACTTTAAAAAAAGACATCTACTGGCAGTCTTTCTTTAAAAAGACAGGTGTAAAAAAGAATAGAGATGGGGAAAAAATCTGTAATAGAGTATAATTGCTAAATAGCAGGTCAGAAAATGTTTGGAGAGTTCTGATCATCCTGCAGTGACCTTCGCCAAGGCTCATTCTACCATGTTGGAATTGAAAGAATAATGTAGAATAATGTAGTGCGATCACAATCCTGTGATCACCTCTATGAACATCCACTATCTTAAATTGTCACAACTTCAGCCTCAAAAATAAAATAAGAGGCTTAGATTTTCAGATTTAAATACGCATATTATACATTTTTATATTATTATATTATGCATACATACTTGCTGGATAGTGAGACTTTAGAGATGGGTGGGTCAAGTTCACAAGGAGACCAACATACTATTATCTTTTAATATTTCTAAATTAATTTCACTGTTTTAATTATTTTCTGTGTGTGTTTGTCTGTGGGTATGGCACCACAGTTCAGATGTGGAACTCAAAGTACAACTTGCAAGAGCTATCTCTCACCAATTCTCAATATACTATTTTTATTTTTATTTTTTATTGATTCTCTGAGAATGTCATAGAGTGCATTTTGGTCACATTTAGATACCCTCCCTCATCTGCACTCTTACCCTATGA